AAAACTATATATGTCTATTTAATGTTTTAACTGGATGATAAAGTTTGTCAAAATATAATTGTATATTATGATACTGATAATTATGATGATTTTGATAACTGACATCTATAACTGGCTATATTTTTATTCTTGTAAAAACATCAGTTAGTTGGAAGTTCACCTTGCAATCAACAATGGCTTTATCTACCATTGAGACATAGTACATGACAATTATAGAGGTTGTAAAGGAGGTAATTTGGCTTTAGGGTTTGTTTGGTGAGTTGGGAGTTGAAAAATATACATTAATATATGATTTGACAACTAAATTATTATTTATTTAACGAAGAATCAAGTATACAATGATGAAATATATTGATATGCAACGTCACTTTGGTCATAAATTTTAGATGAATGACACATCAAGATCTAAAAATACAGACAAGTGAGAATCCTACTAACATATTAACAAAAGTTATGGCAGCAGTAAGTTCAGACATTATTTTGATTTGATAAACATTATCAAAATTTGATGATAAGAATATATCTCTAAAGGTAACTTTTGAGAGATGATTTGTAAGATTAAAATAAAAAATTTGTCAAGGTCGAGCTTTATAATTTGCACTTCCATTAGTAGTTTAAAGAAAAATAAAGAGATTAAATGTAAGAGTTTTTCGATTGATGAAGAGAAAGCGTAATATATATATATTGTACAAAACATACGTTGATAAAAGCTGCAAGCAGATTTTCAACACAAAAAACTAACAGAGAAGCGAAAACTACAAGCTTAGCAAACATAGTCACAAAGTTTAAAATATTGAATGCATTTTTATCACTTTATCTAAATTTTAAGTAGGAACTACTATTTACTTAATATAATTTATGGTTTGAAGGAATGCGGAACACATTTTTTTAAGTAAAAAATATATATATTTATCAGTTGTATAATATATAAACATTAATTATTATAATACTACACAAATAATTTATAAATGAAAAAATACATACAAAAATACAATCAAAATCAGATTTACAATTTTTTATAAAAAAGATGATTGGTATTGAACAAATTAAATAGGAATTGATTGGAGCTCATATGAAATAATGAAGCTGTATAAAATTAGAGTAAGATTTCTACTAGTTGACTAATTTGAGTAAGACGTATGAGGAAGCTAACTATGGGGGACAAGTATAGTTTTATGAGGTTAGATTTTAGTGAAAGGCTTCAAAACATATCATGTAAAAGCAAGAATGGGTGGGAAGCCAGCGGGGGCGGTCGTCCATCCACTTTCCTATTTCGCTAAAACACCAACAAGACATTAAAAAAAAAGAAAAAAATCACATGCAACTCCATTGATTCCCAAAGATTTTTACTTCCTAAACAAATATATATATATATATGTATGAAAAAGCTACTAATCATATTGGGATAAAACGATTCAATCAAAATGAAGTTGTTCATTATGTCGTCTCAACTTCGTTAAGTGAAATGAATCATATTTTTACTACTTAATTTTAAAAAATTAGTCAAATCAGATTATATGTCTATTAATCTTTTTAGTGTAGTAATAAAATAAAGTTAAATCTCTAAATGGATTGTTAATCTTCTAAAATATGTATTGTCTTGTCTAGTGTTATTGTTCATAAGGTGCCACACAGTCTACTAAGTCCTTTTTTTATTATTCTAATGCTCAATCGCAAGTGATGCTTTGATTGTTTAATCTTGAGATTCAAAGTTTTTCTACACTAAAATTAGGTATCCCATTGATGGAGCAAAACTTCTTTTTGGAGTATAATGCTAAAACTTGGTTCTCGTGCATTTTTTTTGTTGATTCAATAATAAGATTGGTTTTATTAGTATCTTACTCTATGGTTTTGATACTTCAATTCTATACTAGAAAAAAAATATAATTATTAATAATTTGAATCTAAAGAAATTATCGGAGTATTCCATAATTTTTTTAAAATTCACTGTTTTAGTTCATGAAATTAAGGATTGTTTTCTGAATTAAGGGTGCAATTGGAACGAAAACAAGTTATGAAATTGATTGTTCAAAATCCATTTAGTAGCCCAAAATATGTATTGAGACCAAGCCCACCTCACAGACTTGGGCAGGATACATACCGGACTAGGAAATTAAAATATTCACCCACTAATCACTTTCAATTCACTCGTGCATTTAAAAATATAATTTATAATTTATCGGCCAAGTTTCAGTGGTTGCATGGTCGCCCTGAGCTTTTACTGTGGAACTGAAAATTATAGGGAGACAAAAAAAAAAAAAAAATTGTATCTGTCTATTCTTTTCTAAAGTGATTTAATTTCATAAAATTAAAAATTTAAAATCATGTATATGTAATTTTTTAAAAATACAAAATAAAAATTATGACAAGGGGAAAAAAGTTAAATATATACCCAGATGAGGAAAGAGGAAACAATTATTAAATTGATTTCTCCACAGATAAATTACTCGTTCATCTCAAAAGTAAAACACCCAGGTGGCACAGACGTAATCAAATACTCCAAATTTGACATTTCTAAACATCAACCAACAAATATATCAACACAAGAATATATAGTATCAATCTCACTGAACTTTTTAAGTACACGCATGCATACATAACATACATACATATATGTATACATATGTACGTACATCAGTGTCAAAAGAAATTATTGAGAGATGGATAATTAATCGTGCAAGTAATCAAGAAATAATTAATGAAGATGTTGACAAGATATATCTTTTTCACGGTAATGGTCTTGCAACGGCGATAAGGATCTTCTCCCCGATTACGAAGGCCTTGAATTTCTTCAACCCTCCACCCCTCTCTATCTTCTCTTGGAAATTAATATGAACTGTGACCCACATCACTTCATTATATCACTGAACAATCTTATATCTATCTATATATATATATATATATATATATATATATATACACATACCATCTTCTCATGATAACTCCAAAAATTATGGGGTCCTAATTCAAAAATTTTACTGAATATTCTTAAACCAATTTAGTTGTTTTGTAATAAATAAGAGGAAACGAGGATAAAACTAGAAATCGGGGTCAATTTTTCAATTAAAAAATTATATAATCTGAATTAAATGTTTTTAATAAAAATAATTTTCAGTTTTACAGAGGATTGGAGTATATATATATATATATATATATGAATAATTAAGATAAACTTTGAGCTTAAAATTAAACATGAACTTAGTAATTATCGAGCTATGAGCGACTGATTCGCAACCTTCAGCTGTAATACATGAACACTATATTATATATAGAATTGTTTGCTTTGATGTCTAATTTTACGTAGTTAGTAAATATTTGCCATTACTTTTTGGGTTACAGTAAAATAAGTTAATTTTATAGCATAATGATTTATATATTTTTTTTTTAAAAAAAAAGAAAATGTCAATATTGACCACAAATTACAGAATTATTAATTAATCATGAGAAATATAATATATATATATATATATAATCAGAATTACGTAATTTAAGTATTGACTAAATAAATTCAACAACACCAATAATGGTCAATTTAGGGGAGCATGTATGACATGAGATTTTAATTCCATATGGGACAAAAAATACTTTTAATAGAGGAATTTAGAGGTCGTTGGAGATTATATAAGACCTGGATAGATATAGATTACACACACACACACAAATATATATATATATATATATATAATTTAACTGTATGAATAAGAATTCAATTTTTTGGCATCTTTACGCCCCTGGTCATGTTCTTATTCTGATCCTTACCTGCTTGACTATTTTTTTTTATTCATATTATCCATGTGTAGTACGACATTGCAGAGACTTTGTGAACATGTATATATATATACGTGTGTGTATGGGTATGCAGAGGTTATACATGGGGAACAAAACTTTCATATTAACCGGCGGATGTTGGTAACCAAACGCAGCTCTTAAAGCCGTCAACATGTCTCATTCTGTCATCAAATTCACACACACACATGCATACACACGTGTGTGCGTGTGTACGTGTATATATAAACATATAAATATTTTATTTACAGTTTTTTCCCATTGGAGGAGCATTTTCGGCAGCAACGGATTTTATTAGAGATCTCATTATTTAAAAAAAAAACAGACTTCACATTGATGGGTGGCAAATTGATTAATTAAATGAGTGATTAATCTTATATTATGAATGGATCAGCGTTATATCTGGTATTTAATTAAATGAAGGGAAGAAATTGCTGGTAGAAATCGTTAATTTAATAAAAATGTAATGAAGGAAGGTGGCTGTTGGTCAAACAAAGAAAATTATAAAATAAATGTTTTAATTTTAAATTTAAATTTTATTCAATGCATTAAATATCATTCGGGGGCGGTCCAATTGGGGGAAGGTCGTTGTTCCCACTCCCCTCCCCTCAAACTTTTTATTTCTTCGAAATTTCGCCTTTTTTTTAATTTATTAAAAAACTGTGCGCACTTTTTAAAGTAATGATTAAATTGATGAACATGCAGAAATTAAACAATTGCGCCAGCTAATTATATTTAGTTTGTGTAATTAAAATTATTAATACGATTATATATCAAAAGCGAAAAAGAAAATAATTTCAAACTCATGATAATTATATCCGGTCTGTGACTGTGTTTTCCAAAAGGGAATCATAAATACAACTATAATTATAAAAACAAAAACAAAATAAAAAAAGGTGAAAAATAATAAATAAAACCATTTTTACAATGTCGAAACTGCTGGTTATTCGTTAAAAAAGGATTTCTACAGAACGGAGCCCTCGTAAATGGTAGAGAGTCTGAGCCTGAAGGAACGAACAGCCATCTTTGCCCGTCTAGATGTATATCTCTGTATTTTTCTAACTGACCCGGATCTCGAAAACCCACCCGCCGATGGCGCCGCCTTCTCTTCCAACTTTACCTTACTCTGTACCTCCGGTACGGGGATAACCGGGGATATCCGAGCCTTCTTACGTCGACGGGAATCCTTTTTGGAGGCGTTTTGGAGAGCAACGCTGGCTTTGACGGCCAAAGCTGCCATGTCTGACGCTGTTAAACGCTGCTGAAGCTTAGAGTTGGGAAGAACGAAGTATATCTGATTGGCTTGAAGCTGATCGCCCAGATCCAATGCGGGAATATAATCATCGTAGAATAACGAGTCTGAGTTGCAGATGAAGCAATTATTCTGACGAGAAGAGGGAGAAGAAGAAGAAGAAGAAGATTCAGCAAGCAGAGCTTGGGAGACGAACATGGGGAGATTATACTCTCGAAGGTCGCCATTAACTGATACAACCTTGGCCGTTGGCGGCGGTGAATCTCCGTGTTCTTCCATGGAGAAGCAGGAACCCATTCTGGTTGTGATGAGAAAATTCGAGATTGGTGTAGAAATTTCGAGAGGTTATAGTTTGTGGCGAGGGTGGAAGTGATATATATGGAGGAGGGTGAGGGAGAAGAAAGTAACAGGAGGGTGAGGTAAGCGAAGTGGTCATTAAATAGAAAAGACAGTTGAAAAAAGGAAACGCGCTTAAGACAGACGCGCTGACTCCTCTTCACAGCTTTTTGCTTAAGCCGCAAGCTTGGTTTAGTTATTATTGTCGTGTAAAACTATTTGTCAATGATTACTCAGCAATGACGCGTTACTGCCCTGCCCCTTATCACACACGTGCCAACGTCTGAATCGCCGTGTAATTTCATTCGCCCTTTACTCTATTTTTTATTATATATATATATATAAATTCTAATTTTCCAGTTCTTTTTTTAAATCTAATTTATCTGTTTGTTTTATATTTTATTTCAATTAATTGTACCAATCTATACACATACTTCGACGTTTGTATCACCGGGTACGTAGATATATATATATATATGTATATAATAGATGGAAGCGTATGAATATAGTATACAGTTGTTACAGGCAGTTTAAGGATTGCATATATAACAGTGGATTATTTAGGTGGTAGCCTCCATTGAATCCTGCGGGTAATAATAAATAAAAGCTTTGACTTATACTAATTCGGCTGCTCCATGCCGTACGAGTGCTAAGTACCCTACGGATCCCCCCCCAAAACAAGGGGCTATCCCAAAACCGCTCACGTAACTCACCTACTCATTACGTGATGTTCTTGAGTGTATAAATTATGAAAAATTCAGAGCTGAATTCACATTTTGAAAATATATAATTGTTAAACTAAAAAAATAGTTTGTATGTTTATTAAATTTAAATTAAAAACATATTACTTATATTTACAATTTTTTTTTTATAATATCTGTTAATGTATTTATATTCCAAATGTACTAACTAATTTTTCTCGATTGTAACTTTCAAATTTATAAATAATAACCATTGACTTATAATGGGACAGAACAGTGCAATATTATTTAAAATATTCATAAATATTTATTTTATTTATATCTTGTTGACTTACTAAAAATTTCATATGCTTATAAAATTAAGTTGCTAATTTTTTTCATATATATTTTTACTAACCAACGATATTTTATTATCTACCGTATACAATAAACTAAATGATACATTTATTTATTTAATTGTAGAACACTAAATATTTTTCATTAAAAAGAAAAAGAAACTATAGAAAGAATTAATCAAATATATTCCGATCATATTTAATGCCTATGATCCAGAGGTCTTAATTGTCATAAAGGTTCGCCTAATTATTCGAGGTGGGATTAAAGTATTTTATTAATTTTTATGTCATTAACAACGTCAACTGTTTCCCAAAAAGTCAACTTTAGTTTTTGACAATATCAAATAACTCCAAATAATAATTAGGTTTAGCGAATGTATAATCAACCTAATTAACAACGATCACGAAAAGAAAAAGATAACAAAATCATGGCAATCTGGTGGGTTAATTATTTCTAATTAATATGATTGTTTTTATAAAATAAAGCATAATAATCAGAAACAAAAAAAAAAAAAAAAAAGATGATGAAATATAAAATAAAGATCATCATTAAACTAAAAACCATTGATTGAATTATGTTTGATATATTAAATAGTGCATTCTTACTTATAGAAGCTATCATTATACATTATGTTAAATAATGTATTCATCAATTTAGAAATGTTTATATTTATTAAAAAAAATTTAAATATTACTCCATTTATTAAAATAAATAATTACTAATAATTGCATGAAAGATGAATATTTTAAAAAGACTCAGTCTATTTAATAACCAATAAATTACGCAAGAGTCTCAAAACATTTTACAGTTACTTGAGACTTTATGTTAATTTCATTAAGATATTAATCTTTTAGTTTTTAATACAATAAATAATTGAAATACGACAATTTAAGAAGAAATAATATCCTATTAATACTTAAATGAATAAGTAACAAAATTTCGTGTCATTAAATAAAATAAGTTCAAAGATTCACATATATTTAAAACAAAAAGTCGGCAAATGTGTTTATGGAAGTAAAATTTGTAAAGACCAATAACATCGGTAAAATAAAGTCATAAATAAATACAGAAACAAAATAATAGAGTTAGTGTTTACATTCCTTACACAATATTTTATAATACTCAATAGAGTTACAGAAATATCAATTCTAAAATAACAAACGAAAATCAAATAAATAAACAAAAGACAAATAACTAATAAATCTTGGAACGATTTTTATTAATTTTTGAAGGGAGTCCGGATAGTGAACTATTCACAACTCCAATATTAATCGGGATCTGAATCTTGGTCCTCTTGAACCGAAATACTTAATGAATGAGTGAGTTACAATAACCCAGTAAAAAAATACCTAGGTCCGAGATTTGTCTCGGGATTAATTTCAACATAAAAAAATTTACAAATTAACTTAATGTGGAATTATGGAAAAAAAATAAGTTAAGGATGAAATTGAAAATAATTTTAGGAAAAATGGGTGAAAATTTTGATTCAGATAATGTTTCTAAAAGAAAAATTGAAAACTAGATGTTATAACGCAATTAAAAAAAATTATACCACGTAAGAACGCTTAGTCAGCAGTCTCGACGAGCCGGAGCACGCCGCGTGGCAAGGCATGCTGACTTGGTGCCACGCAGGAGGCCACGTTGGCGATCTGTGTACCCCGCGATCGGATGGCCCGAAAGAGTTCCTGCGCGCGTGGATGGTTTAAATTCGTTCTCTCCTCAAGCGTGATTGGACGGTCGCGATGAGCCAGAGCACGCCGCATGGCAAGGCATGCTGACTTGGTGCCACGCAGGAGGCCATTTTGGCGATCTGCGTGCCACGCGACCGGATGACCCGAAAGAGTTCCTGCGCGCGTGGATGGTTTAAATTCGTTCTCTTCTCAGGCGTGATTGGACCGTCGCGATCAAACATGATGAACAGTTTAGATTTGTTCTCTCTTTAAAGCGACCGAACAGTCGAGATCAAACGTGATTAACGGTTCAGATTAACGCAAGACCGGTATAAATATCTCGCATCACACCGAACTCAAATCCTAGCAGCCCGTATCCCTCCGGAGAAAAAGAACCAGTCGCGGAAGAAAAAAACCGACCGTCACCGTGACAAAACCACATCCGACCGCTAAAAAAAGTAAAAATTCTCATATCCGCTCAGAATTTAATTCCAAGCACCCACATCGTCAAATCGGAACAAAAAAAAAACAGTCGGTGAGCCAAAAACCACTGGAAAGCCCAGTGGCACCGCCACGGGCAAAACCTGCAACCGCCTCCGATAAGCACCTTCCCGTTTCACGTTTCGTGTGATATTTTCAAAATTGTGTTCACCGTTATATTTTCTATAGATTGAAAAAAGAAAAATGCCTAACCACGAAGGTGAGTCAACGAAGCCACCATACCGAAAAATCCCACCACCAGTAGGTTTTCATTTTTTTTTTTACTTTTTTGGGCCAATCGAGGCCCTCTAATATATTTTCTCGCAGGGATGGATATAAAAGAAGCCAATATCGACAAAATAAATTTACAATTTATTTCTTTTAGAATTTCTGGGGTCGTTACAGTTGGTATCAGGGCCAGATCGAGCCAAACTACCACCGCGGATGGTGGTGTTATCACCCTAGCACAGCTGTGCCGGAATTCCAAAATTTGACGAAAAAGTTTTTTAACACCGAATTTGGGTTTTAAAGGTATTTTTAGGTACTTCAAGCGTATTTTAATCTCCACATAAAAATTCAAAAAATTCGGGGACTGCTTGTAGACGCAGTAGAAAGTTCAACGTTTCGGACACCGACTCGGGTAAGAATCTCTCACTTTATTTTCTATTATGAAATTGAATCTTAATAATCGATAATATTAAATTTTGTATAATTTACAAAACTTTGAGAATAATTATCGATTACTAATGGAGCCAGAACCAGTTAGTTACTTATTTCTCATGTTCAACTTATTGTTGAATTTACAGCTTTAAATACATGATAATATACTTGAATGGTTAAATGATTCAATAGCACTTCCTTAATATATATATTACTTGTCTTGCATGATTTACGATTGATTTATGAAATTGAAAATTAATAAGCAAACGAAAAATTATTTTGTCATGTGAATTAATAAATGGTAGTCTTACTGGATATCTTGGGGGATGGTGAATGTACCAAGTATATAAGGAACCTTACCATGAACATTGCCTCATACCAAACAGGATATCGAGAAATAGTATTTTTTGCACTCATAACGAACGGGGTATTGAGTGATGGTATTTTTGACGTTAATACCGGATGGGGTATGGAGACGGTCAGTTAATTGACTATATTGAATATTGGTTCACGCGTAGTGGGACATCCCTATGGGTCTCTGAGGATACCAGTTGGCAAATAAAAATGAAAAGTTGTTGTTGTTGCTCACTTGAATATGATATTAGAATATTATTTGAATTATTATTTCTATAGGTCGATTTTAGAAATCTCGCAACGGTAAATATATGCAAAAAATAGTTTGCCTTATGATAAATAAATTTACTAAATCAGAGCTCAATGGTATTTTATGATTTTTACC